GGTTTGTCCCTATTTTACCCAGCACTGGGTTGTATTTAACCCAGCATTTTTTAGAGTGTATATATTTGGAACAATACTGGTAACCAAACAGTGTCTGTGCCCCATGACTTCCATAGTATGGAGAAGAAAAAACACTATTGGAGTCAACAGGAAAATATCTTCTTTTATGTTGAGGAGAACAAAGAAATTCATACAGGTTCAGAACAACTTGAAACGGAGTAATGATGTGACAGTAAACACTGTCAATACAGTGATGACAGTATTTAAATTTTTGGGTGAATATCCCTTTAAAATCTCATCATATAATGCCAGGATCGCATAATAGCCAACTAGTGCACATGCTTTATCTTTAACTATTAACGTTTATTTAAGACACAAATAACTGTGTTGACGAGGAGACAGGCATTTTGACATAACTATGTGTATTCGAACGTTTAAACACAAGGCCCGTTTTGGGAGTCGAGCACATATTCTATAGGTTCTACAATATCAAAATGTTTTTTGTAGTACGTCTTTCGCTTCCAAGCAGTCGAAAGTGGGCCATGACCACCAAATGAAGCTGAAAAAGGATTCGACTTGCAAAGAGTAGATGCTAGTTCTTGCAGAACAGTTTCATCTACTTGACAGTTAACATTCTGTAAGTGCTGAGCAATGGTTTGATGTATAAGAGGGACAGAAGCAGTGCTTATTAAATAGTCAAACTCTTGCAAAAGTTCATCAACAGCCACACTAGAAACAAGATAAATATGTTCTAGCTTTAGTAAGAGAGAGGCAACTTTGAGCTCAATATTACGTGGCAAATCATTTAAAACCTGATCATCCAAGTTTTCTGTACATAAATCCTCTGAGAGCTCAGTACCAACACTATTAATATGGATATTGTCAGAAATATGACTTTCAACAGAAATATCTGAGCTTGAGCCCTGTTTCTCAAGGATTCCAAGCTTTAAGTCATTAACTGAACAATCCTTATGATTTCTGCTTCTATGAGTTCGAAACGAACCATAAATATTTGTTTTGTATGAACACCCCTGAAACACACAATCAACTGTTTCACTGTTCTTCAGATGCTGTGCTATATGTTGAAAATAGTCTTTCAAAGTGGATGGCTGATTACAATTGCATAAGAGACATTTAAATGTGGTCAGTTCAGTTTGGGAGGACTGATGACTTCTTGACAAGTGGCTCAAAAGTGACTTCCAAGTCTTGCAGGTACAAGGACAGTTGAAATAGACGCATGCATAAGAATGGTGGCGTCCATAATGTCTGTGTTCAAGCTTATAATGCTTGAGGAGCTCAGATCTTCGTGAAACAGAAGTACCACAGTCTTTGCATTTCCACATTCATTGAAAGACTAGGAAATAAAAAAAAAGCATGGTATATTTGCATTTAATTTATAGAAAGTTTGTTGTTGTTTTTTAACTTTAATATTTTAGATAAATTAAGGACATTTGAAGCTGCAAGAAATAACAGCATTTTTTTTATACTGTCTGGTAAAATAAACCACATTAAATTGGTGGGTAACTTCTTGATTAGTTTTGATTTGGGGTTATTTTGTATTTGTAATTCTCGAAATGTAATAAAAAAAGTCAAATAAACTAAATACTGACATGAAGTGAACCGGATTATATTTTCATACGGTCACGTACCTCTGTGGTAATTTAAAAGCTATTCTCTAGTGTTAGTCATTCCTATTTAAAACACATGAAAATAATGTTCACATTACTTTGGGACTCACCAAATTCAGCAATAAGGGCAAAATTCTGGAATTTCCAGGAAACAAAATCCAACCTGTAAAACAGAGAAAAAGGTGAGATTTCACATTTTAGTTTTTTGTTGGGGCAGTTAGCACCATCCATAATAATCACTACAAACTGTAATTATTAATTAGACCTTAGACATACTATTGTAGTGATATTGTACTATACTGCATTATGCTGACAGGTGAAACAATGGAATATGAATTCTTCCTCTTCAATCAGAACTCATTTTCTAATTCAATACGTTTCATTAATGCAAAACTGTCAATCACCTACTATCATTCTCACACTCTTTTGCTAATATAGGGTGCGTTTTTCGTACAACGACGTAACTCGCTGCTTCACCACCATAGTACCATGCATCGTTGAACAAATCAACTAGCTAGTCACGACTGTTTCCCGAAACCATATTTTTGCAAACCTGTCGTTCAACCACGTTGGTGAATGATGTCACGCAGGTGGTGGAGTAATAACTTCTTTAAATTAATACGTTTGAGATCGAATTAATACTAGATTTTTTTGCTATAAATTACGGACATGGCATCTGGGGACTAATTTTCATTTTTCTTAGTCATTTTGCTTTATTTCCAGATTCAATCTCTTTCTTGCGTACTAGAGCACGTAACGTACGCACATGCGCACTCTTCAAAAACGGTGCTTAAAATCTGACAAACTAAAATATGTAAATGATATTTTTATACATTCGAAATAAAAGATATACATTGTACTTAATGTCAGCTTGCTAATTTTCCTCAAGATAATGATTTATTAAGTCCACATGTCATAAAAACAAGAAACTATGCTTCTAACCACAGCTGGAGATCTGTCGTTTCAACCACACAAGTTTGCGATGTAGTTTGTGAATGTTCGTTTGAACGATGGTTTCGGGGAAACACCAAATCGTTGAACTATGTTAATAACGACGGAACTTGCGATGTTAGTTGGCTAACGATGCTATTGGGAAACGCACCTGAGACTGGCCCCGCTTCAGCCATTTTCCTATGTGAACTCCGAAGAATTGTTTTCCGGAGTTGTGCTGAACAATAACCCGCTCTATACACACATGGCCTCAAACAAACAAACATTAATTGATTCGGACAGTACCATTAACTTCTCATATAATGTTAACATTACAGCTCCTGCAGTCAATGTTTAACTAACGTTGACGGTTGAGATGCATATGAGAAAGGAGTTAACGTATAGTTTATTCAAGCACTAACTTTGTTAGAGACAAACGAGCCTTATCACACAAAACTACCATTATATTTTCCTTACATCACAGTGAAATAATAACTACATTAACTTTGCATTTGTCAAAAAGAGGCAACATACATATTGATTGCATGGTTTGGCTAGCTTTAGCTAACATGGGCACAAACACAGTTGTCTGTAAAGTAATAGCCTAATTGTCCATCCTGCCACTAACCATTAATTGAATGAAAAACACTTATTTTCATTAAAATAACACATTTTCGAATGCTTACCTTGTCTAAAAGCGATTTCCTTGGGCCACGGACCGTCTTCACACTCGAAGCGATAATGGCGGATGGCAAAACGCCGGCTGGCGCGAACAAGGAGTTAGTTGATGTGACGTCATGTGGTCACATGACATGAAAACTTCTGGTTTAAAGTAAAAATACTACTCAAGTCAAATTGTTGCTTTTAATTTGTTCTAGGGGGTTCGTTATTTGCTTTAAGGCAAACTGAACAAAACAGGTTTAAACCAGAAACCATGATTTTCACTTAGTCCAATGTAAAAATGCACTTTAAATGAACAACACAGTAGTTTCACTTTTTTCAGTGTATATGCCTTTAAAATCTCATCATATAATGCCAGGATCGCATAATAGCCAACTAGTGCACATGCTTTATCTTTAACTATTAACGTTCATTTAAGACACAAATAACTGTGTTGACGAGGAGACAGGCATTCTGACACATAACTATGTGTATTCGAACGTTTAAACACAAGGCACGATTAAAACGTTAAAAAAATAACTCTTAGTTTAGTCAGGCGCTGTACGGGCTATAGCCCCCCTAAAAATGGCCTAGCGACGCCCATGGGTGCTACCGATGTCCGTCAATCTACTCCACAGCCAATCACGGACCCCCTCCTTGCTCGGGCCCCGGGGCTTCAGCCCCACACACACACACACACACACACACACACACACACAAAAACATACAATTTGTTGTGTCTGTGTATTTTATGTTTTGGGTAATATAAAAATATCATATATGATTACACTGACCAAATCATGACAGACAGACATTATTTTCTCTGTAAGGTTTCTCTGAGATATTAAGCTTAGCTAATACAAAAATAGACAAAAATGTGTCTTGGAAGATAACTGCAGATATTATTGTTTTATTTATTTATTTATTGTATTTTTTTCTGTGTTTATCTGTAGTTACTATTAAGGTATAAAGTTCACTGTGTATTAACAGCTGTTTACATCATAGATTTTGACTTTGAGGACTTTATCAAACACATTAAAAGCCCTAGCATATACAATCAAAACAACAAACTAATAAAATAATATAGAAAAGTAGAATTTTATTAATTTATGCTGCATAACAGTATGTCGGTCTTACAGCTCTGATACTCAAAGCTTGCGCACTGTTGTGCAATTCACAGAATTAGATAGAACAGTGAGTTTAATATAGCATCTGAAATATATTGATTTGAATTTGATCATTAGTTGGATTGTTCCTCTCTCTCTCATTCTTTGGTGGCATAGAAAAGCCCCCAGCGTTGGTCTCCAGTCTCACAGCGCTGCAGTTTTTCTGTCCATCCGTTTACAACAGCATCATAGTCTTCCTGAGAGAACTCCTGTGGAGGAGACAGAGGTTACAAGAGTACACGGTAAGCTGCTTGCTTTCCAACAATATTCATGCAAACTTTAAAGGAATAGTTCACCCAAAAATTACAAATTTAAGATGTAGATGAGTTTGTTTCTTCATGGGAACAGATTTGGAGAAATGTAGCATTACATCACTTGCTCACCAATGGATCCTCTGCAGTGAATGGGTGCCGTCAGAATGAGAGTCCAAACAGCTGATAAAAACATCACGATAATCCACAAGTAATCCACACAACTCCAGTCCCTCAATTAAGTTCTTGTGAAGTGAAAGATACATCAAACAGTTGCTGGTTGCCATTGACTTCCATAGTAGGAAAAAAAAATACTATGGAAGTCAATGGCAACCACCAACTGTTTGATTACCAGCAATCTTCAAAATATCTTCTTTTGTGTTCAACATAAGAAAGCAACTCATACAGGTTTGGAATGACATGAGGGTGAGTAAATGATGACAGAATTTTCATTTTTGGGTGAACTATCCCTTTAAGACATTTTAAACTTTAAACTGTTGCTTCTGGATAAAATATGTGTCCTCTCAACATAATATTAATTGTGGATTATTGTGATGTTTTTATCAGCTGTTTGGACTCTCATTCTGACGGCACCCATTCACTGCAGAGGATCCACTGGTGAGCAGGTGATTTCTCCAAATATGTTCCCATGAACAAACAAACTCATCTACATCTTGAATGGCTTTGCATTGGAAGGTTGAGTGCATTTGCATTTTTGGGTGAACTACCTCTTAAATGAAAGTGAAACATGTCTTCATTGCCTGCAAATGTAGCTTAAATGAAAAGGGAGGGGAAAAGGGGAAATATTTCCTTCAACAGTATGCAAATGTGTGGTTGTAAATGTAACGCAGACGTTACATGAGCAGGAGTGTGTGTTTACCTGTATAAACTCCTCCTTCATCTTCTCGGCTCTCTGCAGTTCAGCCTTTATAACCTGAATAAATTGCTCTGTTCTGTCCTCAGCGCGAACATTACTGAATCCCACCTCACTCAGGAACTGAAAAACACACACAAACACACTCAGCAAGAGCATAAACAAGCCCTTTGTTCCTGTGCCAGCTTTTTTTTGTGGCATATTCAGCATTGTAGTGACCGATACCAGCATTACATAACAGATCAATACTAAATCTCAGTCCAAACTAGCTTTAATAGTACACTATGATTTTATGAGGTCTGTACTTGTCCGTATCTCTGAGGTGTGTAGAGGATATATCCCCGCTGGTTAACGTAATCCTGAAACGCTGGAGACCAAGGCTTCTCTCCACAGCAGTAGTCACTGATCAGAAGTTTCCCGCCTGGCTTCAGCCATGACTGAAACACACATTAAAAGAACAGTTTACCTCAAAATACACATTCTTTCATCACTTCTAAGACAATACCTCATAAACGCACATTCTTTTCTCTTATTTCCTGAGAATTATTTTACACATCAGCATTTGCTTACTGTACATCACTTCATTTGCCTATTTGGATGAATCCTCCATAGTTCAATACAAATGCAAAGGCTTGTTTGTATAAGCCATACATAATGTGTCACTCATTTGAGTCTTAGTAAAATAAAAATAAAGAAGGCTCAAGGGGAAGATAACTGTTAAAACCACATACACAAAAACCAATAAATGAACTTTTCCATGACATTCTAATTTATTGAGATGCACCTGTATATTCACTGGAACACCTGCTACCCAGTGACAGTATATTTAGACCTACAGCACACAGATAATCATTTGTATATCCTCATACACACACACAACCCTTATGCGCACACATACAGTAAGCTATTTCTGTGACATATGAAGTGACAGACATGAAATTAATGCACACATTTTACTTGTGAGAACACTCACATAAAACTTTCTGAAGAGGTCAAGTTTGTCCCTGATATGCAGAATCGTGTCTCTGCTGTAAACCACATCAAACGCAGCATCAGGAAACCTTCTTTTTGTGGCATCTGACACCTCAAACTGCACCTGCAGAGGAAGGACAGACAGTTACTCTACCATCAGGAAGTGCTGAGCGACTCTCAGAGCTTTCCCAGAATGCAACTCTGTTCATTCTCAAAGCTATGCGAGTTGAAAGTGTTATTATTTAACATTTTAAAAGAGATTTCTAAATTTCCTGTGGAAAAACTTAGTACTAGGTTGTTAGGGTGTTGCTATGCAGTTGTTATAGGTGGTTGATAGGGTGTTGTGTGTGGTTGTCAGGATGTTGCTATGCAGTTGCTAGATTGTTATAGGTGGCTACTATGGTGTTATGGGTGGTTACCAGGGTGTTGCTATGTAGTAACAACCTAGTTGTAATAGATGGTTGCCAGGGTGTTGTGTGTGGTTAACAGGGTGTTGCTATGTAGTTGATAGATTATTATAGGTGGCTGCTATGGTGTTATGGGTGGTTACCAGGGTGTTGCTGTGTAGTAACCTGGTTGTGATAGGAGGTTCCTAGGGTGTTGCCATGCAGTTACTAAGTTGTTGAAGGTGGCTGCTATGGTGTTATGGGTGGTTACCAGGGTGTTGCCATGCAGTTGCTACAGTAGGTTGTTATAGGTGGCTGCTATGGTGTTATGGGTGGTTACCAGGTGTTGCTACGTAGTAACAACCTAGTCGTAATAGGTGGTTGCCAGGGTGTTGTGTGTGGTTACCAGGGTGTTGCTATACAGTTGTGAAATTACTAGTATTTTGCTATGTAGTTGCTAGGGTTTTCTGGGTGGTTGTCAGGGTGTTGCTATGTAGATGCTAGATTAATATAAGTTGTTGCTAATATGCTATGGCTGCTTACCAGGGTGTTGCTATGGAGTTGCTAGGTTGCTGTGGTTACTGATTTTTTTTTTAGCAGTTTGATGGGTTTTGCTATGTGGTTGCCAGGGTGTTGCTATGCAATTGCTAGGTTGTTATATGTGGTTTCTAGGGTGTTGCTATGTGGTTACTGAGCTGTTTGAGCAGTTTTGTGGGTTTTGCTATGTGGCTGCCAGGGTGTTGCTATACAGTTGACATGCTGTTCTGAGTATTGTGTGATTTGCTTTGGGGTTTCTATAGTGATCTGGGTGGTTGCCAGGGTGTTGCTATGCAGCTGCAAAGCTGTTCTGAGTTGTTGCTTTTGCTATGGAGTTACAAGTTTGTTATGGTTGGTTGCTAGTGTTTCAATGCAGTTGCAAAGCTGTTCTGTGTTTGTTGCAATTTTTATGTGGTTGCCAGGGTGTTGTGAGTGGTTGTCAGGGTGTTGCTAAGTATTTGCTGAAAAACTCAGTTTACTAATGGCAGTTTCTCCTTCACGGCTCTCTCCATGGCAATCTCCACCATGTTTGATGACAGGTCCATGCCCAGAACCTCAACCCCAAAGGTCTGTCATTTAAAAAGATAATTCAGCAAGTTAGTAATTAATCGTATCACCACACTAAAATATAGACAAAACAGAATTTCTGTCTAATAATATTTAATTACGGTTTGCTTGTTTAAAGGTCCTGAGAAATACAGACTTAGGAGAGTGAAACACGTTCTGAAGTAACACATAAACCCACCACACGTTAAATTTTTGGCTCACCTTGGCCATGTAGAAATCTCCGCCTCCAATCCCACAGCCAACATCAAGAACCTTCTGTCCGGCGGTCAAGTTCAGCATATCAACAAACTCCTAATAGGTTACAGATTAATATATCAAAGAGATTGAGAGAAAACAAACCATTAATTATTGACTAAAATGATGAGATAACACTGAGAATTAAGAGATCAGTAGTTCTCCACTGCTGAGCCATGAGCCAAAAATGAGGAATCCTCAAAACCAAAATTAAAGTATATGACAGAAATATTAATACATTAATTGCTTAAATTGTTATTAATTTTATTACAAATACTTTAGTCTGGTAAACACTTTTGGTACTTTGTTTCTGAAAGTTACATAGTTACTCCAATAGTAACCAATTTGACTCCAATTGGTAGTCTCCAATAGACAAGTGACCATATTATAATTGAGTCAATAATGATTCATTTAAATGATCGTTTCAAAAATCCTATTCATTCAGGAAGGGAGGAACGAAATTAATAATCTTTATTAATGAGTCATTAAATTATTTATTTAACTGATTCATTCAGAAACGCATATTTATTTACGAACGAAACAAGCAGCTGTCTTTACGAATGAATCCTTGAATCATTCATTCAACAGCGATTCATTCTAAAACGTCGCTTTAGAATCGTTTAGAAACAAAACAAGCTGCTGTCTTAATAAACGAGTCATCGATTGAATCATTCAGTCAACAGATTCATTCAAAAACATACTCACTTGGAAACGAATTTTTAGCATATATCATTCGACTTATTCATTCATTAAAAACTTATTATTCATTAAAAAACGCCTATACTTTCAGGGTGGAATCATTCATTCAACGATTCATCTTAAAACAACTCATTGAACAATTCCAAATTTTGCTCCGTTTTGCAGCGGTTCTGCTGTGCCTTGGTTTGGTAAGTGGTAATATTGTATCTAAATATACTTTACTCAAAATGAACACGTTGTTCACTGAACTGCTGGACTGTTATTATTATGTAGCCTAACTTATATTCATACACTCAGAAAAAAGGTAGCCTACAAAAGCTATCACTGAGGCAGTACCTTTTAAAAAATACTAATATGTACCATTTAGGTACTAATATGTACTCTTTATGTATTATTATGTATCTGTATGGTACTAATATGCATCTTTTAGGTGTATTAAAGGTAAAAGTACCTTTCGAAAAGGTAGATTGTAGATTGTAATTAATAATAATAATTCTTCTTTCTTTCTTAGGGGACGTATGACCCTACATATTCTGCATCCCTGACCTTTGTTGTGCTGAATCCGCCTGTGCTGACAAATCCTGATCCGAACATCTTCTCGTAACGTAAGATTCCTCTTCTGGTGTACTGCTGGTTATCTAGAAACTCCTGGAATGTGGAAAAGCCGCCCTGATGCTGCTGTACAGCATCACGACGAACCTTCTGCATGAGCCAACACAACTGGTTCTGGTTGTTCTTCATCTAAGACAAAGAAATCATTTCCATTTCAGTTTATTATACAGAGTTCATGTCCTTAAAATAATTTGCTGACTGACTGGTTTACCTTCACATAGGTCTGAACTGTCTTATTGAGCACCATGTCAAACCCGTAGCATTTCTTCTCTGTCTGATCTGATTCGTCCAGCAGGAGTGACGACATCAGGTGGTTGTAGTAAGCAGGGCTTCTGTAGTGCGTGGGGTTAAAATCTCGCTTGCAGTCACCTGTGGACGTAAAAAAGACATTAAAATTGATAGAAAATAATCTTCATTATGCTACTCTAAAGCTGTAATAAAAGTAATAAAGCATGAGGATCAGTGCGCGCTATATGAGGGTAATTATAGTTAACTAAAACTTTTGTTACTTGAAATAAAATAAACTTGAACTCAAATAAAATATGCAAATAACTCAAATAAAATATACAAATAAAACAACTTTAAACATATTGTATTACAGCTAATTGCCAAGGCAACATTTCTCATGTACATATAGTTTAACTTGATGTACTAAAATAACTGAAACTAAAACTGAAATAGAAAACTGTACAGACATATTTTAAACAAAATGAATAAAAATAAAAAACACAACAAAATAACTTTAAAAGTAAAACAAAAACTGAAAATCTAAACATATGTACAAAATATAAAACTAATTCAAAATGTTAATAAAAAAATATAATAGCATCTCAATTATGCTAAACACTACACTATATGGAAGAATATATATATATATATATATATGTTCTAGTAATTGTTAACAAAATGCAGTAACTCATTGTGTCTCCCTTTTATTTTTGAATGATAAAGCCCTACATTTTTGTGTTTAATAACGTTTTAGGCTCCAATAATAATAATAATTGTAATAAACTATGGTTAAAGTGTTTATCATTTATTTGCATAACTATAGATTCTAGAAATACAGGTTTGTCACACTAAGTGCTTATTTATTCGTATACGGCCCGCAGTGTCTTTTAGTACGGCCCGCTGGATCATATTAGACTCGGATGATCAATTTGAAAACATTTGAAAAGCAAGTCACGTAAAGATTGCTTTCAGTTTATGATTTTAATACCATCTCCAACCAGGAGAGGTCGCTCCCCTATTAATTTCAGTGTAGGACGTTCACTTTTCTTAAAAAAATTGTTTAAAGGCTGAAATGTGAAGTGCAGATCTTAAAAAGGTCTTTAAAGGTCTTAAATCCTGCAGATACCAGGTTATTTTATGGTACCATTTCGAATAACTTTTTTTTTTTTAATTAAGCCCTTTTTAACTGTCCTTTTAGGTTGTTTTGAGAATGTTCTGTAGGCTACATTTCCTTCAATAAAAAGGAAATTGAGTAAGACGGTGTAAAAGGTGTGTGGACGTGGATTAGTAATCTGGCCCCTTGGTATAAAGGAGAAAAAATGCTGGCCCTCGTCACTATCAAAGTTGCCCATCCCTGAAATAGAACAAAAAGAAATCACTGCCATTAAATGTCAAATTACAGGGTGTTGTTTCTCTAACCTGACTGGTGAAAGCAGGACTCCCTGAAGAACAGATAGCCGCCTGGGCGGAGCCACATAATGAACTTCTCAGCCAATGACTTCAGCTCCTGATCACTCAGATACATCAACAGCCAATTAGAGAAGACCACATCCAAACTGAAAGAGAAAGTGTCAGAGAGATGAAGTGGAAGATGGAGAAAGACATCAAATGAGATGGAATGCATCTTCTCAGATCTTTTTATACCCAATGAAATTAAAATTGAATAATAATAGTGCAGTGTTGGGGTGCCTCCAGGACCAGGGTTGGGAACCACTGATCTAAAGAACCTTTTTATGCTATAAAGAACCTTTTGTGGAATGGAAAGATTCCATAGATGTTAAATGTTCTTCATGGAACCATCGATGTGAAGCTGTGCACTCTTGTACACTAACAGCTGACATTACACATTTACTATTTACTGTCTTTCTTTTCTAGGAAAATGGACCAAAAATACTGATGACTCCTTAGGGGTGTATCCAAAGTTTGGCCAATCAGTGCTTTTCAAAATGATAATCATAGCAATGGCACTCTTAGCCTTTCAGTCTTGGTCTAACACCTAATTATTCATCTTAATTCTTCAAGTCTTTTGCCATTAATATCTTTTTATCTTTGTATATAATCATATAAATGATTATATACAAAATTAATAGTAGTTATTGACATTGATGTGGTTTGGTATTGGTAAAATGTGCTTGGAAAAAAATACGATCAGAATATTGGCTGGCCTAATAATTCTGCACGCACTGTAGCTGTGTTTATAGGGCTGAATATATACCTGTGTTTAGGGAAATCCAGCTTTGTGACATCAGCTTGGATGAATTCAGCGTTGCCCAGGTGACTGTTGTCCTTTTTGTTCTTTTCCACAAACTTCTCCATGAAGTCCACAGCGGTCACGTGACGGGCCTTGCCAATGAGGTGACGTGTGAACCGACTGAAAAGAGCAAAGGTCATGATAACAATGCAGCAAATAAACCATGCTTAAAAGCTTAGTACTGGCCAAGAAACAGATTACCTAACCATTTGACCTTTCGATTAGATTTCCACCAGATTTTCATCATTTTGATTTGACAGTTTCACTGGGACATATAATTGTATTGCTGCATATAATTGTATACTTGTATACAATGAGTATTGTTGAATTAATGTTCCTTGTTTGTCATTTCAACTCATTTTTAAAACTCCTATCTTGTTGAATCTCATATAACTTCAAAATGAATTGGTTCAATTATTTTAATGAGTTCAAGTAATATAAAAACTAGTGCTGTCAAACGATTAATCGCGATTAATCGCATAAAAAATTAAAGTTTGTTTGCATAATATATGTGTGTTCTGTGTATATATATATACACAGAACACACATATATTATGCAAACAAACTTTAATTTTTTATGCGATTAATCGCGATTAATCGCATAAAAAATTAAAGTTTGTTTGCATAATATATGTGTGTTCTGTGTATATATATATACACAGAACACACATATATTATGCAAACAAACTTTAATTTTTTATGCGATTAATCGCGATTAATCGCATAAAAAATTAAAGTTTGTTTGCATAATATATGTGTGTTCTGTGTATATATATATACATATATATATATATATACACAGAACACACATATATTATGCAAACAAACTTTAATTTTTTATGCGATTAATCGCGATTAATCGTTTGACAGCATATGTTAAAACATATGTTGCCATGAATTGATCTCGTAATTTTTTATAGTGTTGTTTGTACATATCTGTAATATCTTGTAAATAATAAGTATAATTTGTAAAGTGTTCATACATCATGGTAGTTTTTGTTGCAATGCCTTCAGTTTATGATGATTTTATTTCTAACACGAAACCTATTTTCGTGTTAGAAAATAATGCAAAACATTAACTGCTATTTTGGTGAAATAGGACTTGGACTTGTACGTATGGTTCACCCAAACATCAGAGATCTGCAGGTCTCTTCAGAATCCAAAGTCAAAGACAATGTGATCACTGACCCGATTCCAGCACCAAGTTCCAGCACATCAGAAGCAGCCAGAGAAGGGAGCAGGGAGAGGATCTCTGGCAGCTCGTGTTGGGTCAGTTCCTGAGCGTTTGAATCCAGCATCATCTCCTCTACTGTTGCAAACTTGGAATGTTCCTTCCAGAACTCCGTCATCATGTTTCGCTCGGTTTCTATGGAGACAAACCCCATCAGGTAAGGACACTGAGGATATTTCTGTTTCTCTAGATTTTCTGTTCATGGTTACCTTTACAAAACTTGACTAAACTCTTTAAAAAAAAAAAAGGTTTCAAAAGGGTTTTTTTGCCACAATGCCATATAAGATCAATTTTGGGTTCCCCAAAGAACCTTTCAATGAACATTGTAAAAGAAGTGCGAAGAACATTTTAAAAGAACATTTTCCCACTATCCAGTCCATGTTTGTAAAAAAATGTTAAGCAACACATTAAATAAAATATGAAATTCTGAAGTAGTTTTGTAGATTAAGTGTATTTCTTTAGTTTATATTGCATAATTATTATGTAAAATAAGTGTTAATTTAAATTTAACAAATCTCATTTGCTTATATTACTTATATTATATTATTATATTGTTTTTCAGAATTATATCTTCTTTTAATTATATGTTCTCCAGACATCAGGCCATTTAAAAAAAGGGTCAAACTCCTATATACCATATTGCAAAATGTATCTACAATAATAATTAAAAGTCCAAAAATGATCCAAACATTATTTTTAAGTTTTACTCTGTAAGACTAAACTGATGGATGTCTCAATACAGAGATGGTGTTCAAGTAAGTTTAATTTTATCATCTCATACAAGCAATATTTGACAAAATACTGGCATTGGGAAAAAAAAATGTTCTCACCCTGACATCTGTACTGGCCATTTAAAAACCCAATGGGGTCTTTCAAAAGGGTTTTTTTGCCACAATGCCATATAAGATCAATTTTGGGTTCCCCAAAGAACCTTTCAATGAACATTGTAAAAGAAGTGCGAAGAACATTTTAAAAGAACATTTTCCCACTATCCAGTCCATGTTTGTAAAAAAATGTTAAGCAACACATTAAATAAAATATGAAATTCTGAAGTAGTTTTGTAGATTAAGTGTATTTCTTTAGTTTATATTGCATAATTATTATGTAAAATAAGTGTTAATTTAAATTTAACAAATCTCATTTGCTTATATTACTTATATTATATTATTATATTGTTTTTCAGAATTATATCTTCTTTTAATTATATGTTCTCCAGACATCAGGCCATTTAAAAAAAGGGTCAAACTCCTATATACCATATTGCAAAATGTATCTACAATAATAATTAAAAGTCCAAAAATGATCCAAACATTATTTTTAAGTTTTACTCTGTAAGACTAAACTGATGGATGTCTCAATACAGAGATGGTGTTCAAGTAAGTTTAATTTGATCATCTCATACAAGCAATATTTGACAAAATACTGGCATTGGGAAAAAAAAATGTTCTCACCCTGACATCTGTACCGGCCATTTAAAAACCCAATGGGGTCAATCCCTAAATACAAATTTGCTAAAATCCTAATTATATCATTCCAAATTACATAACTCCAAAGTGAGTTATATTTAATGAAATAATTTAAGTTTAATTTCATCATCTCATTCAAGCAATATTGACATGGGAAAAAATGCCATGTGTTTTTGTCTTACCTTTTTCCATATCAGTGAAATAGAATAAAATAAAATAACAAAACGGAATATACAGATATAAATCCAACTCTTTTCCACCGGAACAGTTTGTTCAGTCAGCTTGTAAGTCTCTTTAAGCACTCATGCGCGCTGTCCTGTCCGGGTCTATATTACTCAGGAGGACTAATAAACCCCGCTGACCATTAGGGCGAGGGGAGGAGAGCTGCGCTTTACGCATGAATAATAATGCTACTAAAATCCAGGGGGGTTACGAAAGGCAGTGATGGAACGGGATTCCCTTACCTTAAGCCCGGGCTGGATGCGCGTTGCGTCAGGCTTCGTTCACAGACGTTTGGAAAGGGAGGCGTCAAAGCTGAATGAGACCATATCCTTACGCTTTCTGATTGGAGAAATGGAGACGAGAGAGACGCCGGTATGTCCCTCCTCGGGTTTATTAATGGTGATGCAGAATTATGAAACAAGCGAAAAACGTAACGTGTAATTAAAGCTCTCCACGCGCACCGGCTTCTGCTGGAAAAGTGCTGACGCACCTCGTACGCGCTCTAGACAGGAATGCGTGCTCGTTGCGCAATATTGCCTCATGCATTCTGGAGCCAATAGCTGCTAAACTGAAGAGAGAAACGTTTAAATGAACAGCCACCAGTTAATATGATAATTAATGTGTAATTCAATACCTTATTGCGCTGTTTGGTATTGTGCTCATGTTGGGCTGTATTTGTGTTGTTTTGCATTATATTTTATGTGTTTAATGATGAAAGCAATCGTTTTATATTCCATGTAGCAGAAAAAGATTCCACATAGCTGAAAACCAGAGGTCTAGTTGGCATGCCAATGAATATATTAATAATATAATTAATGTACCTTTATTGAAGGTGTTTTTTTTTTAACGTTTTTGAAAGATGTATTACTAGTTACATTTAAAAAAAAAAAGAATAAACGAATGAATGAATAAGTAAGTAAATACATTTAAATGAAAAGTAACACCCAGGGTTATTATAATGAACTGAAGCTAAAATATTACTAAGTAACTAACACATATGTTGTCATAATTGGAACTTGCCTTTAAATATAAAGTAACATGCTGGTTTGTTATAATGTTATGACACTAAAACTAAAACTAACTGACTAGCTAAATGCATAACTTGGGGAAAAAAAGAACTGAAATTGTATTTTGTTTCAGCTAGTTGCCAAGATTTAGTTGGCAATATTTCTAATTGTATTTTCTAACTTAGTATTTTTTTTGTAATTAATAGAAAATAAAAAAGAAATGTATTTTCTAATTCTAATTAATTTATTATTAATTTCGAATTAATTTATTAGAAAGTTGGCATAATTGGAACGTGGCTTTAAATGAAAAGTAACACCCAGGGTTATCATAATGAACTGAAACTAAAACAATACTAAAAAGAAATGTATTTTCTAATTCTAATTAATTTATTATTAATTTCTAATTAATTTATTAGAAAGTTGGCATAATTGGAACGTGGCTTTAAATGAAAAGTAACACCCTGGGTTATCATAATGAACTGAAACTAAAACAATACTAACTAACTAACTAACTAATGTACATTGTCATAATTGGAGTTGCCTTTAAATATAAAATAACATTCTGGTTTATTATAATGTTATGATAATGTTATAATACTAACTAACTAAATACATAGCTTGGGGAAAAAAATAACTGAAATTGTATTTTGTTTCAGCTATAGTTGCCAAGATTTAGTTGGAAATATTGTTAAGTTAATAACTTAATAAATAAGTTGATGTTGTAAAATAACTAAAACTAAAATAAAAATAAGAACTGTAAAGATGTGTTTTTTTAAACTACAAAAACTATGAAAACGGGAAATATAAAATATATTTGTAGAAATTAATTCGAAATGTTAATAAAAACTACAATATCTCATGTCTATTAGCATGACACATACTTTACAAATTAAAAATATGTCCACCTGCCCTGAGCTGATGTTTATAAAAATACCCTTATGATAGCCACATGTGACAAAAATATAAAAAAAAGAACAAAAAATAATACTTTTATTTGGCAAGAATGCATTAAATTGATCAAAAGACATTTATAGTGTTACAAAAGATTTCTATTTCAAATAAATACTGTTCTTTTAAACTTTCTATTCACCGTCAGATCCTGAAAAATATATATATATTTCCAGAAAAAAATATGAAGCAACACAACTGTTTTCAGCATTAATAATAATCAGAAATGTTTCTTGAGCAGCAAATCAGCATATTAGAATGATTTCTGAAGGATCGTATGATGCTGAAAATTCAGCTTTGCATCACAGGAACATTTTACAGCATATTACAATAGAAAAGAGTTATTTTAAATTGTAATAGTATTTCCTAATATTACAGTTTTTTTTACTGTATTTTTGATCAAATAAATGCAGCTTTGTTGAGCAGAACAGACTTCTTTCAAAACCGATCCCAATATATTGAAGAATAGTGTAAGTCTGTGATTTTAAGTACAATACTATAAATCCACTTGGCCTACTTAACAATAATTTAGATCACGTGGCTATATGATGTTTAAAAAATAGCTTGACATTGTGACTCTGCTCACAGGCTTAAAATAATATGTCATTATGACACCAGTGAAATAATATAATAGTGCTACTCATGTCTACATATATCATCTAGCACTTATTATCGAGATACTGGAGATAAAACAGAGTTCAGCAAAGGACAGATGATGTAAGAGCAAGACATGCTGTTCATTAACCCACCACAGGGCACAAACTCACAGAATGCCCCAATTTTTCATTAAAATGATCATTACTAAACCAAAGTCCAAAATACATTACAAAACCAACCAAAATTAAAATACAAAAATACATTGGTAATGTATTACATAAGAAAAATACAGACACGCACATAGACATTCATGCATCATAATTGTATTTTTATATGTTTTATACTACTGTGTTGTGCTGTGAGGTTTTGCATATGTTTTATTGTGCTATTATTGTTACGCTGCAGGGTTGTTCTGTTTTTATGTGTAAGAATTCCACTGTACTTTCTCATATGGCAGTAAACTACTAGTATTATATTACTAGTCTAGTTAACATTTGTCATTGGTCCAACACGCACCTGAGAAGTGTAAACATTAGATCATAGTTCAGTGATCAGGTTGGCCTGATCTGTACTCTCAGCACTGGACTATATGGTGTGATGTTGATCATAGTCTTTAGTTTTTTTCCTCTGGGATTTGAACAGATTATAAACAACTGCACGTGTTAAACAAACAGTTGCACAAGCTAATGATTCACACGGAAAATGATTTCAAGACCCAGTTTCAGGCCGACAGATATTTGTGCTTTTACGTGTGAAATAATTGAAGTTCCTTCTTTTGTTAAAGTGCTTTTTAACACCCATGCGATTTTATTTTCTGGAATAATTTGGATGCAGATTATTTGATTGTAAACCAGGAATGATTGCAAGACAATTAAAGTGACATTATTGGCAAAATGTCAAATTATTTTAATGTTTAATGACACGTTAATGTTAGTTGAGGTTGTCAGATGGTTTAACCCGCCTCATTATATTCTTGATTGTATACAGTAAATATCTTGAAAAATAAACCTTATGATTTTGTATGCTCATGTGTATTGAATTAAACAATTCGCAGGGTTATTATCATTAACTGAAAGTAAAACCATACAAATTGTTACTTAAAATAAAATCAACAAAACTGAAATAAAATAAAATTTGATAAACTAGTAAATACTCAAATAAAATAAAATGAATAAAATTATATAGATTTTTAAAAAACAAAAAACAAAATCGAATAAAAATGACAGAAACATCAAAATGATTAAAACTTTAAAATTAAAAAAGAAAACAGAATATATATAATTCAAACTATTAACAAAACATATTAATATAAACATTAACAAATAACAGTCTAATTAAATCAGACCATTTAATTAGAGAGTTAAAAAAGTATATGAACTCAATGTAAATATGAATATTGCATTTGTGAAGAGCCTTATTTCTCATTGACTAGTTCAGGTCTTTATTAGATCTGTGTAGCAGCAGTAGATGGCAGCATATCTCCAGCTATTTTCTCAAGAGGCCGTCACAGTCTTCCATGAAGTTAATCAGATTTTAATTGTGCAGTGCACTGTACTGGAAGTTTAATTGAAGATTAGTGTGTTACAAGTCATATTAAAATTGGATTGGCACTATGATGACAGTAAATTCAGTGTTAGCGCTCCACATAGCTTGGAAATCAGATCTGGTTGTTTACTGCCCCTCACACACAAACACAAGAAGTATTGGCCTTGGTTCTGGCAGATCCAGCAGTGTACGCTGGTTTATTGCCGTCATTTATTGCTGTTTTGGGGGGAAGGTGCGTTACTGGATAAACTACACACCTCAGCAAAAACACCGCAGTTTGTTTGGCTGTGCTGCTAAATGTGCAAGAGAGAGAAAATATGTGAAACACACACACAGAGCGAAGAAGAACGGTTGACTGAACATTACTGTAAAACAAATTAATGATCTTGCGGCACTAAATGTGTCATTCCGAAAAGCAGAAGCTCTTTATTTTCCATTGACTGGACATTATTGGGTGGAAAACAAAAGATGCTACAGCACTAAACGGCCCAGGAGCTGCACAAACTAACATTTTTAGTGTATGATCTTGCACAACGTGCCAACACAATGCCAGTTTGTGTTTACTTTTGAATGTTCTCTGGACATTCTGAAACAATAAGTAACGTTTAAAAAATGTTAGACGAACACCAAATGTTTCGGAACATTTTGCCAGAACCATAGTTTAAACTTATATAGCACCTAGACCTCAGTTATCATGAAAAAAGCCAGGAAATTTCAGTTTTGACAATATGGGACCTTTAAGGTCTTTTCACACGAAATTTTCGCACGTTAAAAAATAAATATGACCTTACGTTGTGTCAATCACGTTTACACACTGCCTCCGAAACTATTGTCCATCATAAAAAAAATTCGGATCAGTTTCGATTTTCTGTTTTCGCATCCGTAGCAAGCATTTTGATAGGAAAGGATGATGAAAATGAAAAAAAAAACATACAAACATTTTGGTCTCAGTGTGCAAGAGTCTTACAGTTAGGAGTCTGTTTAGGCTATATCAATAACCCTCAGTATTATCAGTTGAAATAACGATGCTGGCCTTAGAAAACAGCTTTAAATATGCTGCATATGTCATTTCATTGTGATTCAGTTCAGGTAGCACCTCAAATTTCCACATAAGAGACATTATTTAAGGAGAGAGTGTGACTTTCCATATAACATCATGTTTAACATTTAAACTAATGAGGGGAAAGAGGAAAGACATATTTCCTGGATAGATGCACATGACAGAGTTTACACATCATAACATATACCAGTCCAAGGACAGACAGCTGAGATGAATGCTGACAGAGAAACAAACACAGACATGTCATATTAACACATGACACGTATAACCCGTAAAAAAACTCTTCATCATGTCTGTTAGAAAACATCTCAAGCATTCAGCCGTTATGTGTG